AAGACAATACAAAGTATAGGGCATATATAAGAGTCAATATAATTAATTGTAAATGCAAGAACTATAATATGATATATAAAATGTATAAAAAAAATTCTATAAATAACACATTGTAAAATACATTACATAACACATTGTAAAACACATTACATAATACATTGTAAAACACATTACATTACATGTTTGGCTCTTGGATTGAGCCATCCTCAGGTAAAACAAAATTCACAACCTTAAAATTTATTTCCATCGTTATTATAAAAAAATCGTGATGAAAGTTATTCAATTTATATAGCGATATTGATGAATGCCTCACGGAGACCATGAATTACTTGCAAGCGGTTTACTGATCGATTGTTCGGAATTTCATGATATTCTAATTAAAGAAACATATTTGTTAACCAATAAATAAAAATAAAAAATAAAAAATTAAATTAAAATTTGAATAAAATAAAAATCTGTTGAAATGTTATCTACTTTTAAAATTCTGTAAGAACCAAGCAAAAACATCATCTCAATAAAACACTCACCAACGTGATCGTGTAAAATATAAGAGGTAGTATAACCGTCAGATAGTAATAATACGTAATACACAGTCACTATATTAAAACTTGATAATCAATACAGATCGAATCTTCCAGAAAGAATAGTGAAATAAATTTAATAATTTAGTTTATGTAAAATAATTAACAATGTAGTGATTAAAAATCGATTTGCACTGATACTCTAATAGTTTAATTTCTTGCATCGCAATTATCTTATTCTATTATGTACACTGTTAAATTTATAATATCAGATTATACCCAATGTGAGTTATTTTTAATTACAGATTAAAATTATTTTTATTTACAGATTTTAATTTGTTTATCAGTATCATTAAGATGCTTATGAGCATAAAAATTATTAAATTGCTAGACAATTTAATTTGTATTAGTACTAATAGTTTTGTCGGTACAGCGTTTCAAATCTGAAAAATCAATTCGGCGCGCAATTTGGCAGGATTTGATACGTGGTATATAAATTTACACCGAATTAAGTATTTAAGCACTAAAGATTCAGCTTCGACCGTTAAAAGCTTTATTTCCTATTAGTTGTGTATTCACATGTATGATCCAATAGGATTCTTATTGTTTTATTTTTAATTATTTCTATAATGAAAAAAAACGTACTAAATTTTAATAAATATTGGTTTGAATAGTATTAACTAAATATTTACTGGATGTAAACATATATTTATTTGGTACAAGAATTGTTAATTTGATTTAAGTATAAATTTTTTTTTACTAGTATTTATTGTATGTAAATATTTAATACTATTTAAATAAATACTCATTAAAATTTCATAATTTTTTTTTCAGTGTATAAATCGCCACTGCTCCTACTTAACATGTCGTTAATTTATACAATACAGTTAAACAATTCAAGAAATATATTAAATTTGACAAAAATTTACTTTATTATTTACTAATTGTAAGTGCAAAGGTTAATATGAACACTGTTTATTTCAAAATAATTCAAAGCAATTCCATATAAATGAGTTAATTAGATGCGGTTATCTTTTTAATCACACGTTTTAAAATAATACATTTGACACGCTTGGAAATTAAAAGCATTAATATATTATACAATTTAAGAAATATTGTTTTATAAATTTGATCTTTTAATATTCAATGTATAGTTCTAAATAATCTAAATGCTGTAGTCTGGTGTAATTTTTATTATTTTAATTTGAGTCGGGAGAGAAGATTTGGAGAGGAAGTAATGGAGGGTAATTTTATACAAGGCAGGAAGGAAAAACGCGAGCGCTTTAGAATCTTCATCCCTCGCGAAATACCGTCGTCGTCTCTGTACTTATATTCGTGCGAAGCTTCGTGATCCTTATTTTGCGGAAAGAGCGAAAGCTCTTAGCGAACTTTCGACCGAAAACGGCCGTCTTCCGCGCTCTTCAGCCACAATAGACGGATCTCCCTTTGCCCGCCGCGCCGTGGACATTATTTTCTTCTAACCGAACGAATAGGGCATCTCCCGGAGAACGGTTTTACCGTTGGACGTTCCAGTTTCTTGAATCTATCGCAAATTATAAGATAGCATTCGGTCTATGTTCAGCAATCGTATCGTTGATAATTGTACGCGCAATTGCTTGCACATACGAGCGGCGGAATCGTGGCCGTAAACTAACGTACTTATGTTTTTGTTTTCTCTGCAAGGCCGAGTTATGCGGGCGCGATGAAGAATGATTACGCGAAGAATGATTGCCGCCACGATGCACCACGAAACGTAAATTTCGAGATATTGACGTTTCGGTTATTCACCTCGACACAATGGTTTCTGGCGCTTTTATTTTGTCAGTTCAGTTTGACAGCCCGCATCGAAATTCAGCTAAATAATTAACGAGCAAAATGAAACTGTTTGATCTGCGTGCTTTACATATTTTTCGTTAGTTGAAAAAACTGATGGTAATAGAATAATAGCGATAAATTTTGCAAAAGCCGGTTATTAACTTGTTAGTAATGCATTTAAGAATTCTGATTTATGCGAATTGTCTTTGTGAACATATTAATGCGATTTTAATTAAAATATACTTTGCGCGCGCGCGCGAGAGAGAAAGAGAGAGAGCACGTTAAATTTGGTTATGACACTTTAATTATTATACGAATATTTTATCTGTCAATTAATAGCACATGTATTCACGTACACGAGCAAAAGTTACGAGATTTAATTATATAATTAATGAACTTATATACGATCGCATTGTACGTTACAGCGCCCTACGAGGGTGGAATATGGAAGGTGAGGGTTCATCTGCCGGAGCACTACCCTTTCAAATCACCTTCGATCGGTTTCATGAACAAGGTCTACCATCCCAACATTGACGAAGTCTCGGGCACGGTGTGTCTAGACGTTATAAACCAGGCTTGGACTGCCCTTTACGGTACGTATTCATTTAGCCGCGTAAAACCGTGCTCGACCAGTCTGTAAATAGCGCACGAGTATCCGCGCAATTTTCATTTAGCCGTCTACTTAACCTTTTCATTACAAGTAACTTAATTTAGACTTCGCTTTGAGAGTTACGTGAAAGTTGCATGCTTTCCAGTCGTACATATATATATAGTATATATCTTGTATTTATTACGAGTCGGGCTTTGTCGAACAACGTGTTGAGGAACGACCTTTAACTCTAATTGGTAATTGGCTCCGAATTTTCCTTAATTGGTATTCGTATGGTAAAACTAAATTAATGCAGTTTTGTTTAAAGTTAACGTAACCCACGTAATTAATGAATGATTTTTCATTTTGAAAGTTAAAATCCGAGGAATAGGATTATATTATTTAAAGTTATGTAAGGTTGTGAAAAACATATATTTAACATATATGTAAACAATTTTTAACAATGTTTGGTGCGTAATTGAAAAATATGTCCGAGTCCACTGGGATCCGCGAATGCTAATTAGAGTTAATATCTGTCGAAAGAGAAGAGACTACTAACGACATTTTTGCATTATTTGGTTGTTTCAGACTTGTCAAATATTTTCGAGTCTTTCCTGCCTCAGTTGTTAACATATCCCAATCCAATCGATCCCTTGAACGGCGATGCTGCCGCGATGTATCTTCACAAACCCGAAGAGTACAAGAAGAAGGTGGCGGGTGAGTATGTTACATCAGGCTTAATAAGTATACCCCTTAAACGAGGCACAGTTAGAACGAAGACGGTGGATCATTACAAGATCAGCCGTCAATCGATCCGTGTCTCTCTCTTAAAGTAAAACTTCCCCTGTCGTAGTTGCTTCCGTTTCGCGTGTGTGTACGCTTGAAACATCATTATCGTCGCAATGTAATTTCCCGTTTCTGACTTCTCGGCAGATTACGTGAGGAAGTACGCGACGGAGGAGGCGCTGAGGGACCAGGAGAACGGCGGCACCGGCAACGGGATGTCCTCCGACAGCGAGTCGTCGATGAGCGACTTCAGCGAGGACGAGGCGCAGGACATGGAGTTGTAACCAAATATATTACCATCCGCGCGTACCCATATCCTTAATCATCTCGATTCCCTGTAAGATCCCCGATCGCTCGTCCTACTACCAAATAGATGCTTACACCCGAGACTCCGAGTCTCACTTCTGGTGACGGCGACGAGATCCCCTTTACTACTCGTCGCTGCTCTCGTCGCTCGTCGCTCGTACATATACCGAGGGGTTGGTGATCGACCATCCCTGGCACGACGAGAGTGAAAGTGACGGAGACGAACGAGGTAAAAACGGAGAATCGCCGCGCTCTTCTCATCGAGCGCATCTCGAGGGGCGTTTTCTATCACGACAGCGATGTCTCTCACGGTCGTCCAAGCTCTTGCTTGAGAGAGTTAATCCGTTAATTATTCGCTGCGTTTAATTGTCATATTCATGATGACGACGACGATGATGATGATCATAACGTGCACATTAACGAACGAGACGTTGGCACAAATGAAACTCGCAATCTTTGTAAACGTCATGAGAGTCGAGGCTCTTATTTTTCAGTGTGAAGAAGAGAAAAAGGAAGGGTATGAAACGAAAAGACAGAGAGGACCATCGTTGGTATTTACGGGTTATTCATTGATCGACGCAATATCGATTTTCGGCCGGTGCTTCTACTGCGTATATATATCTATGATGCGTTTTTCTATGATGAACAGCGAAACAATAACGTATCGTGCGACGGATAGAGCTATATCTAATATATATTATTCGGCTATTCTCGATTTCTGAAATTCTCTCGCCCTTGTTTGTTCTTTCTTCCAAGCACCCATAGGTGCGTTTGTCGTTGTTATTCGAAAACATGTGATCGAGAATGAAGCAGCAGAGAGATGCATAAAAATTTTAACGACGAATTGACTAATCTGGCATACAGCGATCGCATCGTCTCTCTACCAACTAACGACTCCTTTGCTGCTATCTTAGACTGTGTTAGCATACAAAAATTTTAACGACGAATTGACTAATCTGGCATACAGCGATCGCATCGTTTCTCTACCAACTAACGACTCCTTTGCTGCTATCTTAGACTGTGTTAGCATCTATTTAGAAAATTATTTTAACATTCGAAATCGCTATCAATCGTCATTCTTCTCATTTTTATCTGAAGAGTACGCTAAATATTGCTTAGTTAAAAGTAAAAAACAAACAGAGTTTGTCTCTACGACCTTTTCTTTTTCTCGGTTGATTATAAAAACCGGTGCCTATGTCACGCGTCAGTTTCAGATTTCTTTTGTTTAAAATAATAGTGAGACACGCAAAAATGTGATGGAGTATGGGTACTAGCACCGTCTTCCTTTTTCCTGCCATCACTATTCCCAAACGTTTCCCCCGTAGGGCTGCGCATCAGCGACCGATCGCCACGTCGTCGTCGGCCGCGGGGAAAAGATCGAATCTACTACACAAACGGCCGCACGCGAACGACGTCGAGACGACGGAGCCGCTAGCCAAGACTGCGCGATTGTGGAATCACCCCGGGAGAATGAGTGCAAACGAGACTCTGAATATGTTTCAAGCAACCTCGACGTCCTGTCTCGAACTGTGCGCATCGGGCGGACAAAGTGCGGATGCAAGCTACAGGACTATCATCACCGTGTGTCTATCCTTTGGAAGTGAATGTAGATTTAGTTGATCCCGGTGGGTACGGATAAGACGCAAGCTACAGGACTGTCATCACCGTGTGTCTATCCTTTGGAAGTGAATGTAGATTTAGTTGATCCCGGTGGGTACGGATCGGACGCGATTTAATATTCGCTCGCGGAAAATTTCAAGTCAATTTGTACTATTTTAATCTCATTGTTATTCGACTCATTATAGATTTCATTATATAGAATATAGATTATTGTTATTAAGAGGAGGACGTATATTAAATTGAATTGGTTTGTTACAATGTTTGATAAGTCAATTTGTACTATTTTAATCTCATTGTTATTCGACTCATTATAGATTTCATTATATAGATTATTGTTATTAAGAGGAGGACGTATATTAAATTGAATTGGTTTGTTACAATGTTTGAGAGATGCTTTGCTTTTCTAGAAGTGAAACTGGAAATATCCTTGCGTTTAAAGAAAGAAAAAGAAAGAACAACTATCCTTACTTAATTAATCATTACTTCCATCCGCTAATGCACAGTTTTAAGTTTATTTTGAATATTAAAACTAAAGAAAATGAAATCAAAAAACTCAGGGAATTTCCGTTTGAGAAACAAAAACTATGATTGTATTATCGCTGAAATAAGCAAAACGTAAATTCGAATACAAAAAACTAAAGAAAATGAAATCAAAGAACTCAGGGAATTTCTGTTTGAGAAACAAAAACTATGATTGTATTATCGCTGAAATAAGCAAAACGTAAATTCGAATACACGAATGGAAAGCGCGAGGAAAGGACTACATTTATTTTTATGATTGACGATATATCAGCGAGTTTAAATTTTCAAAAAGAACCAAGTAGATTAAAGAATTGTTTGGCAAAGTGTAGGAAAACTGTAAATTTATAAAATATAAAATTGTATAAACTTTAGTGCACAATAATCTTCGATCAATAGTATCTCGTTTCAAATATATCTCCCTCCTTTGCATGATTTACATGTATGCAATGCGATTTATAACTGTACGTAAGTATAAACATTATATTTCAGTGCCTTCTCAGGCAAAAAAGCGTGCCTTATTATATGGGTCTCTGGTAAAGAATTTCATTGGAATATATGAGTGAATACGACGAGCATTTAGCGTTAACGGATCTTTGGACGAAATTAATTATGCTTAAAGCATTGCAAATTAATACTGAATGTGTTTTAAGAAACTAGAGATAAACATCGATTACTAGGCTTCAATAATTCCTTGATAATTGAAAGATATATAAGACATCAACGGAAAAGACAGATATGTAAGAAAGCGTGAAAAATTTCAACGATCAATCCAATTGTTTATCTTGAGAATTTTGAACAGATATGACGCCGAATTGATACAACAATATCGTAATGTCGCTATAACTACGTTGCGTAGGCGCACCGGTCGTAAATGCAGCAACTACAGTAATCAAATTCAGAATGTAAATAGCAAAACAAAAGTTACGATTTTTTAGCTAATATATTGTATATTTATACAATTTTGTTGCGCACACTCTCGCAACTTTTATTTCGTCTGGCGATGAAGCTGATCCAGGTTTTTAACGTATTATGCAACAGTTCTGCGCTTACCTTTTTTTTAAAGAACGTTGTTTTATACGATATATAATTTATATGTAGAGATATTCACGCTTTACATTATTACGTTATTATTTAAGACGAACTTTCATGGACATGGCCTGTTTCCCAGCGAATCCATTCCGTTGACGACATGTACTGCAATGTATTTACCGTTTCGAGAAGTTATGCTATTAAGACTAACAATAAGTGAAATCAGTACAGTTTTCGCGTAACTTACCAGAAGCAATGCCGTTTTTATGTTTCTATATTTTTTTCTCGTGCAATTATATAAAGCGATATGTTTCAAAATCCGTCAGTTGCTCTTTGTCATATTTTTCGTAATGTTCATCTATTGGCTTCGTTATTGTTATAATCTCAGTGGTTTTTGAAACTCGGTGTGCAATCAACAAAGTATGATATGTGCGTCACTTGAATGTACGTCAAGACAAATGTACAGTTTATTTAGAATACTTAGAATTATCTCAGCTGTACTTAGAAAAAGAGAAATAGCAAATTCTGCTATTCTTTTATTCGCACTGTATCTCTCACAGGAACGCGTGTCTTTTCTATTTTATTTCTGTAAGTTAGCACAGTATGTAGCTTTAACGCGTCTAATGTCTCGTCGGCACTGTACTTTTAGACTTCGTTCATTCAAAACCAAAAATCATCATATTAGAATGTGCGTTTCCCATGGAACCGTGTCGATTGAGTTTGAAGTCGTGCTCTCAGATCTCACATCGTTGCTAATTATATATGTAACATATAGAATTATTGACTAGTTATACGCATATATATATATATGTATATATACGTATATATTATGTATATGGTTTTACTAACGAATTGTTTAACTAAGCGAAGAAGAATAATTTTAATAATCATTTTTTATATTTTTTTTTGCAAGTGTTGTTTGTTCCTCCTGTCAACTGATAACTTATCGCGTCTCCGTTTCGACTTTTGGGATTGTTTTTTAGTATTTCCTGTTCAGTGCGCGCGCGCACACGCTCATTATTATAACGAAGATGAAAAATTTTCCATAATATGTGTAAATTGATATTGAATTATTATCGGATTAATGCTTAGATTAATGTTAACTAATATTTCGTTTTATGATGCGAAGATCCATTGCCTCTATTGTGTTCAAAACCTTTTTGTAACATTGAATAATACGTCTGAAGGCATATTTTTATATATGTATTGCAATGATATAATATAGCGATAGTTGCATGTTCTTTATCCTACGTCGGGTTCCATCGCCATTTAATTTTCCCCTCTGTGATCATAAATAATGGATAATCAATTATTTTTATAATCGTGAGCAACCTGTCTCATACAAAACGATTAGAGTCTCGCGTATAATAAGATGCATTGCTTATGTCGTTCCTTTAATTCCATAAGATACGTCGCATGTTTTCCGAGTAATTGTACATTTAAAGGATGCAAAGGAGTCGTTACGTAACACGAGAAACACATAATTTATATAGTGATAATTATAAGATGTAGAGAATTGAAACGAGAGAATTTGAAACTACGATTATTGTGATTGATTGGTTCTGTGCCGTAACATAATCTGTGTTTTTAGTGTTCCACCGTAAATCTTATTCGCGAAGATGTAAGTATATTTATGGATGACAATTCCGATACAGAGAAAGAGGGTAAGCTGTCGACGGGCGATGCCACGTGTTTGTCAAAATTTATGTCAACAATTTGTGATCAAAGGGCGAGGGATTCGTTTTTGCCCAATTCAGTTTGATTAAACGACTTATATATGTATATCTACATACACACACATTCACGTAGCATGCAATGTCAAACACGTTCCAAACGAAACTGTTAATTTCGTGCCACGATATACGGTGTACATGATCCACTGGACTTTTGCGAGAATCATATTCGGAGTTGTAACTTCAACGTACAAAAAAAGAAGGAAGAGGAAAAGCAGATACACTCGGAGCCGAGATTTAGTCCAAGATTTTCATTCTACGTAAATTATAATTCTGTCGTGTTACGTTCTTTGAAATGTCGAAATTGGGAGATGGAAGTAGGTAGAGTGGTCATTATCAAAGATACTCTTTAAACCCGCTTAAGTATATAGCAGGCGCGTGACGTGAATAAAGAAGATGATGAACGGCTGCTATTCCTGTTCCGCCGGCGGAGCACGTATCTTGATTTGACATCGTGTTTTTCTCGCGAGGTAAACGTTGAATTAGATAATTGAGAGGGAAACGTACTCTCTTCACCTTCAGATGTTTTAATCAGGACAGGGAGACAGCAATATTTTTGCTACTCGTTCGTAATTATATATCATCGATGTTAGCGAGCATGCCGACGACGGCACGAGCGTCAGACGCGTTTGCAATAATGGTTGATTAACAAAGTAATAAGGAGGATACAATCGTTATATCAATCGTACGATCGAAACTAGTCGCCCGACAACGACGATACAGTTGTGCTTGCGGAATATGCATTTCGATATAGTTTGGCAAATTCGTTTTACAACTCGATCGCGCGACAGCGATCCGTTTACTTGCTACCTTATCCAACTGAAAATCGAACAAGCCCTAATCTCCTAACTTAGATCCAGCGATAAAAATGACTTGGGTCCAGTTTCACAACTCACGGTTAACTCTTAACCGAGGTTCAACTTATTTCTCATCTTTTTCCAATTCTAGAATTGAAAAGAGATAATGAATAAGTTGAACCTCGCGGTTAAGAGTTAACAGTCAGTTGTGAAACTGGGCCTTAGCCGTGTGCATATTTGCAAACTAGATAGTGAACGCCGACATTGTCACGGGACGACAGTAATCGAGCAATGCAGCAAACGCGAATAAAACAATAGCTGATATTTATCGGTCTAGTAATTTAACCGCACTCTAGACGTTCTTATTCTGCAGCACATCCGGGAATGTAATTAACAATATTAAAGAAACTATTAATTTCAGTGGTACTTTCGTTACTTTTGCTTTAGACAATGTCGACGTTCGCAATGGACAGATTTTCGCGTGTGTTATTACTGCTTTATATTACTCAGCGATTGTGCGAGAACGTTTTCTAAACCGTTTCCATGTAGATAAGCGAGGCCAATTTTCTACCGCGTCTGAGAAAAATAAATAATCCCGATGAGAATTTTGCGTAATCACGCAAAGTGAGAATTACTCCGTCGCGAAGAAACAGAATTGTAAACGCAAAAAATAAAATTACGATGTTAAATTAAGTGCAATTTGTGACGCGAGAGGAGGACATATTCTCTCGAATGAAAAGTTTACGCTCGCTTATGCATCTGGAAATGATAAGGATTTAATATTTCGACTATATATGGCGATAGAGAGGCTGAAAGAGATGAAAAGGCAGGAGCATAAAAGGAAGAGACGTTTTCTTAACGGCCCGCATTACGATGTGCGTGCAAGTTTTTTTAATTATTCAAGCAAAAATTAGAAACAAGATAATACGGTATTTTCATACACAGTAAAAAATTTTGTGTTAAATTTAACACATTTTATATTTCCCAAATTTTTGTGTTAATTTAACATAAGATGAATATGTTAGAAAATAATACAAATATTATTGTGTAAAAAATTAACACAAGAAGCTAATACTTTGACACAATTTAAAAGTAAAAGTAAATTTTATGTTAAATTGACACATTTATAATGTTAAATTTAACTGAAATTAGATGATATTTTTACATTTTTAATTTAGGCGATACCTCTGTGATATTTAACATATGCAATATATAGATTTAACTCATTTAACAAATATTTACCGTTACAAAGAGAAAATAACACAAAATATTTGTACCTTTTTACATATAAAATATGTAACTAGCTGTACAGAACATATTTCTTCAGTAAAACTAACATTTATAATATATTAAATTAACACATATTTTATTCATTTATTTTTACAATTTATGTTTTAAAACCGCATTATTTGTTTACTTATCTATAAATTGTGTTATTTTAATATCGAGAAATGTTAAATTTATAATATAATGTCATTGTATTATTTAAATATTTTGTGTTAAATTAAAATTTAATATTTCTTTAATATTATTAAGTCAACATTCGGACATATTAAAAATTCAACACAAAAATTTTTTAACAAGGATTCGTTTTAACATAAATACAAAATGTTTTTTACTGTGTAGAAACTATATTAAACGCAAATGTGAGAAAAATACTAGAAAACGATTAATTCGCCAAACGACTAATTAAAATGATTGGAGAATAATTAACTTGAAAATGGAATTTATTTATTTATATTGCTAGAAAATGAATTGTGGGATAATTTATTAAAAGTTCTATTTACGTATATTGGGTTAGACATTTTATCATGGTTATCGTAATAAGAGTATTACTTAAAAAATATCAATTTCGAAAATGACAACTGCGAATTACTTTAGAGAAAACGTCGCTTAGTGCGTGCTGCGAAGAAATCAGGAGACTGAAGGACGCAGCAATGCTCGCGATCCTCCAATCGACCGCTTTTACGCAGTGTGACAGATTTTTTCGATAATAGATGTCGATATCGCCGGTAGACCCTTTTCAAACATAACACATGTAGCGACGTATAAAATGCTAAGGAGTTGTACTAACTCTCTCGTGGACGACGATCGTCATTAACTCTGCAGTAACGTTACGTTTTCCCCAGTGGTTCCTAGTCACTGCCATACTTATTAATGACGATATCATGAAGAGCGTGACCGGAGAGCTGCTAAAGGAAATTTTTGCCGAACAATATATCGAAAAGTTACAAAAAAGAGCAAATAACCTCATAATGTGTTCGCGTTATTAGCTGCTGAAAGCTCTCAAGAAAAATTGGCACAAAGACTGCTGTACTGCAGGGTTTACGGGGAATCGACGAGATATTCGTTAATTAACACTGGCAAAGTAAAGCTTTATAAACTAACGTAGTGATGATGATAATGATGACGATAAAGTTCAGAACACTCGTTCGGAGGATTTGTTCGGGAACCGTTTCTATGTTCCATGTACAATCGTGAAGATCGAATTATTGGTGTCTGTAGAGGTACATATATTTTCTTACGGTATATGGTAATTAGCTGCGCTGCTTCGGCTCGTGAAGGACCCGTTATCCTTGAATTGGTCAACGATGAAACGGAGAAAAATCGAGCGGGATTTCTAAAATGGTCGCATTAATAACGTAACGTAATGTAATGTACAATAAAATTGTTTGACTAAGGCATATTTAATTCCGCTGTATTTAGTTATCTCAATGTATTGTCAAAAGCTTTGTAAAATGATAATTATTTGCATTCGTAATGAGTTGGAATAATTCACAGAAATGCATAATGTATTTTCCTATTAAAATTCAGAATTTACAGAATAGGTTAATAATGAGAAGTAAAATATTTAGATAATATACATATGATCCAAAAATATGATACGAGATTAAATAAGATGTTTACAAAATTAATTTTACCTTTATATATTCTTTATTCTTATATGAGAGTGTTCTTAATATAACATTTTCAATTGACTGCAAATTTAGAAATCATTAGTTTTGAAAGTGAAATTATGATATAAGTAATAACGAATGAAAAATTCTCGCTTGACTTCTATTGCGATTGTATTATGTAACAACTTTAGACAGTATAGGTCCAACTTTATCGAAGAATAAAAAAGTGATACATTTTTCTGAACTTTCGCGCTATATGCAGATTCAGAAAAATAATTCTAAAGGACGAATTTAAGGGAACGGGCACCTCACTACAGCTAGATGTAAAGTTTCCTTAGGTACCTATTGTTTCAATGTATGAATCGTCTATGTAAAATGCTGGTACTGTTAGCAAAAAGAAGAAGAAAGCTATGTCAACGATAAGTACGTCGAGAGGGAAGAATTACTTTCGAATGATCCGGCCTTTTCGAAAGAAAAAAAAAAGCAAAAGAGAAAACGGAGGTGAGACAGAAATAATTCGACGATCTGGCGTGTCTTTTACCAGATTTCCCGAATCTGACCAATCACACAGAACGTCTTTCTAGTTAGCACGTGATGACGATGATTACGAACTTGCTGAATCCACGTTTTCATGGTTCGTGAACACAATAAAACAATGACAAACAATGAACATTACGCTATTACAAATATTTATTATAAATAAGATATAACAAATATAAATATAAATATATATATATATATATATATTATATTGAATTAACGATGATTGAACAAGATGCAATTTTTTGGTACAATAAAACAAAAAGAACCAATACTGTGTGACTGTATTTTATTGAATAATCCACGTACCTATACTTTTTATGTTGATTATATATATCGCGTTTAACATTTTATAATAACTCATTTATATGATCATCTAACTTACTTTCTACCACTACTAGTACCAACTGTTGTAGAAAGATGCATTTGTCTTCGTGACATTCCAGTATGCTGCTGTTACGTCCAAACCCTTGGAAAAATTTTTAATTGTTA